TTCTGTTCTATAGTCCTGTTTAAGATCTGGTCAATACCATTAACCTGAAATTCTCCTTCCTCTATGCCTATGATACATAGATTTGTTCTTTTCATGGTGTCCCACATCTCTTGCATATTCCATTCTTGTGTGTTTTTTAAAATTTTCCATAATCTTTGCTTGAGTGGTCCATTTCTTCAGCTTTATCCTCCAGTGTTGATATTCTGTTTTCCATTTCATTCATTCCAGTGGTGAGGCTTTCCTTTGTCGTTTCAAGTTGCCTTATTGAGTTTTTCACTTCCTTCTTCATTTCTGCCTGAGTTTCCTTCAATGTTTCTATGTCTTTTGTGAATTCATTCAGAAGTTTATCCCTATCTTCTTCCAGTTCTTTGATTTGTTTGTTCCTGTGTTCTTTAAATTCATTGAATTCCTTCATCATGTTTATGATTGTTCTTTTAAATTCTGTGTCCTGGGTTGTCTCTAGGCATTCCCCTATAGAACTCTTCTACAGGACTGGTGGAGTTTGGTGGGGACATAGTGTTTTGGCTTTCCATTTTATTATTCTTTCATTGTGATTTTGGCATGTGAATTTCTTTTGTTGTTTGTGATTCTGATATGACAATTAAGTTGAAGTGTGCTTCTGTTTGTATTATTGGTGTGCCTTGGTCCTTTTCTTTTTGTTTATGTAAAGCTGGTTGGTTTAGTTTTCAGGTCCTCTCAGGTTTTATTTTAGAAGGAATTGATGGCTTCAGATCAGCTACTCAGGAGCACCCACAGAAGCCCAAGTCACGTTCCAGTCAGGTACACTCAGGCTTTCTTCTATGGTTTGGACCCCTACTAGTGGGAACTCAGAGCAAAATTTGGGAAGTTCCCTAAGGGGGTGCCGATTTTGGAACTCTTAGGTCTACTGAATTCTCAGCCCCTATGCCAGATGGAGGCCAGAACAGGCACTCTGGAGGTCTGCTAAGATCACAGCCACTACACAGATGGAGGTCGGAACCCACCCCTCGGCTTGTCCTACCAAAGGCATGTCTACCCTGGGGCCTTGGGAGGGGCCTCATGCAATCCCAGTTAGAAGGTTGATTGTGGCACAATTAGGGGAAGCTCACCAGCATGTGGTGGTGGGGTCTTGGTGCTCTCAGGCAGTCTCCTGCATTTTCAACCCCTGTGTCAGAGGGAGGCTGGAAACAGTCCCTCTATGGTGGTCTGCTGAGAGGACAGTACACCGATGGAGGTTGGAATCCATCCTCTCAGGCTGTGTGCTAAGATTGGTGGGTTGCTTCTTAATGGATGCCATGAGGTCAGTTGTATCACCATCTGGAAGGAAGAATGGTCCACATGCCCAGAGACACATTCCAGGTAGATTATAGGGCCAAGTGTGAAAAGCAAAGTAAGAAAGTGACTTGAAGACACAGCAAGCAGTTTCCACTTCTGCTGTGGAAGGATAAATATCTGGATTAGGAGATGAGCAAAGGGGCTTTGAGATGGTTCAGTGGGAAAAGTACCTGTTGCACAAGCATGAGAACCTGCTTCATATTCCCAGAACACACTAAAAGCTGGGTGTCATGGCATGTACCTGTAACTCCAGTGCTGGGAGCAGAGACAGGAGGAACCTGGGGGCTTTGCTGGCCAGTCATTCTAGCTGAAACCATAATATTCAGGTTCAGTAAGAGTCTCTCTCTCTCTCTCTCTCTCTCTCTCTCTCTCTCTCTCCCTCTCCCTCTCCCTCTCCCTCTCCCATCTCATACACACATACACACACACACACACATACACACACACACTTTTTTTAAAAAAATGAGCATAGTAATAGAAAGCATTCCCTATATCACTGATGAGCAGGAAATGCAAATAAATACTACAGTGAGGTACTGTTAGGCTGTTATCTAGGATGGCTGCTGTCAAAAGAGCAGAAGACAAGTGTTGATGGGGGTATGGAGAGGTTAGAATGCTACTGTGCACTCATTATTGCAGGAATGTGAAATTGTGCAGCCACAGGGCTGGAGAGATGGCTCAGTGGTTAAGAGCACTGGCTGCTCTTACAGAGGACCCGGGTTTGATTCCCACACCCACATGGTGGCTAACAACCATCTGTAACTCCAGTTCCAGGGGAATCCGGTACTTTCTTCTGACCTCCATGGGCATTGCACAACATGGATGCACTTACATACATGCAGGCTCTCATACACATAAAATAAAAATAATAAAAAAAGGAAAAAAAGAAAAATTATGCAGCCACTAGAAAAAAATGGGGAAGCTCCTACAAAATCGAAAATTAGAGCTAACATATTACTCAGTGGTCCTTTTCCAAGTGCATAGTCAAAAGAATGAAATCAAGATATTGAAAAGATCGGTATCCCCATGTTCATTATGCTCTAGTTTTTATCCATCAAGATACAGAATCAACCTACAGGTTGATGAATAAGGAATGAATAAAGAAACACACACACACACACACACACACACACACTGAAATACTTTTGGGCTTTAAATAAGGTTGTGTGGATGAACCTGGAAGACACTATGCTAAGTGAAATACTCCAGATGAAGGAGGACAAATTCCATCCTATGTCACTTACATGAAACTCATAGAAGCACTAAAAGGTGGTTGCCTGGAGCTGCAGGGATGTAAAAATGAAGAACTCTTATTCAAGTTTTAAGTAGATAGTATAAAGTATCAGTTATGCAAGATGAATAGGTTCTAGACATCTGTTGACCAACAACCTCCATATAGTTAACAATGCTGTGTTAAGCCCCTCAAATTTTCAAAGAGGCTAGGTCCCATGTTAAGAATTCAAAGGAAAGAAGACAGCACAGTGATATTCTCACCTACCAGCCTCTCTGATGGGCACCTAACTCAGCCACCATTCTTTCACTTGTTTTCTTTGTGTGTGTGTGTGTGTGTGTGTGTGTGTGTGTGGTTTTTTCTTGGTGCACATGCCAGAGGCAGAGTTTGAATGTCTTCCTTTTTTGCCTCTGTCTTATTTTTTGGGAACAATGTCTCTCACTAAACCAAAAGCTCACTGCCTAAGCAGCAAAACCCCGAGAGCTGCCTGTTTCCATCCCCAGTGCTGAGATTACAGGCATATACGGCCGTGCCTGTGGTATGTATATATATATTTTTAATTGAATTTTTTGTGTATTTCATACAGAACATCTCAAACAATCTTAATCATCTTTATACCCCCGTTCCCACTGGCACCCTCCCCTAACCCCCCATCCCCCCACTGGAACCCATATATTCTGTCATCCCTGTTAAGGCCCACTAGGTTGTCAGTGTCTCCAGCTCTTCCCTAGTGCAAGTCCATCCACTGAGTCTAGTCAGCCTATCTAGAGTACATAAGTCCCATGCAAACTCAGGCAGACGATAGCCCAGCATAGAACTGGTAAAATGAACATGCCTGTGTTTCTATGTGGGTGCTGGGGATTTAAATTCTTCTTCATGCTTGCATAGCAAACACTCTTACACACTGAGCCAAACCCTCTATTACTTTTTAAAATACAAGGCCTTCACTTTTTAAAAGAAATACATCCCTTTTTGACAACTTTTGCTGGAATGTTCCTCTTCCACTGGGCCAACGTAGAACCAACATCTGCCTCTCAGTAACTTTCAAAGAATATAAATCAGTCAAATTTCTCCCACATCAGATACATAAAAGTATCAAATCCCATTTGGTGCCACCTCAGGTTTTAAAGGGGAAGCTGAGGCAGGTCTCAAAGAATCAAATGGAAGCGGGCTGTTCAACTCTACAGTACCAATATGACAACTGAAAATCTTACCAAAGTATGTAAAAGCAGCAGAGCATTTTGACTCTACCACAGTGGTGTTTGGTGTGTTCTTTACTAGTAAAATTTAGCCTTGGTGGAAACAGTAATTCCAAAAGTAGTATGCAAGTAACCATTAATGCGAAAGTTGGAAAAAAATGGTCATTAAAAAATGGTTAGTGGGAAAAATATTAACTGATAAAATTGAGAGGAACCAAATACATCAATCAATGCATCAAAACTGTGTTGTGAAATTTTTATCAACAAGAATTGGTTCCAATGAAATTGCAAAAATACAAAACCCCTGCAAGCTATTTACTTATGCGGTCTATGAAACTGGTCAAAGAATTATGTTAATTTAATGGTCTTTAATACTGCCATGATTCTGAAGAAAATGTTTTATTGATAAATATTCTAAGCATCTTCAGGGTCACAATGATGCGGTTAAGAATTACTGATCCCCTTGTATGGATTTAAAATGCCAAGTACTTTGTAAGTGTAGCATGCTTTAAGCTAAGTAAAAATTACATATTTTTGTAATAGGGCTAGAAGAAATAATGGCCAAGTAAATGCAGTTGGATTTATTGAAGTCTTTGGAATATGAATATATTTTATAATTCTATTAATGTTGTAGTAATGTAATAAAATATTTAAAATCAGACATTTAGTTCATGGTTACATTAACTTTGTGATTAAATCATGATATAACTGGACGATGGAGCCTACATTAAGAACTATTTTGTGTGTTTACATATACCCTACGTCCCAGAAGTCCTTTGTTCCCTCTGTAATTGTGCTTTTCTGGGACATGCAAAATTTTCTGCATTCAGGCAAGAATTGCAGTTGTTATTCAGCGAGATCTTTAGCGATATCTGAATGTAGATTTATAAATGCCACCTACCCATTTTCCTGGAACAAGACACTGACTGCCTTTCTGAAATAAGATTCTGTTGCCCACATTTCTTCCACCAAATTGCTAACTTTTGCTTGTTATTGGTTCTTCTTAAGTGCGGTGAATGGTTGTTCAGGACAACTTTGTTTCTGAAGAGGCTGTGAAGTGACTGCACTGGTTTCTATTTTCTGCTAGCTCCATGTTCAATAGAAATGGCCCCAGCGATGCTGACCTTAGAGTTGAGGTGTTTGCTGTTCTCCTTTCTGAGGAGCTCATGGTGGCACACTGACAGCTACTTTAAAGATATTATCAAAGTTTTATAGTAGGAAAAAGTCACTGGATACTAAAACATTGTTTCATGCAGGGCAAGATGGAAAACCACACCGGCTTCAGAAGTAGACAAGCAGCTCTGGAGGCAGATGACATATGCAGTCACCTGGATTTGTGAAGCATTCAAGGTTATTCCTCAAGGGTGTTATTAGATTAGGGGCATAACTGTGTATTTTATTCACTATGATTTATGTTAAAAACCTAATGAGAGAGAGAGAAAGAGAGAGAGAGAGGAGAGAGAGAAACATATTTCTGTCTGCAGAGTTCCCCACCAGTCTGTGGATATGGGAAAAATCATTCTCTAATTTTAAAAAAAGGGTTTTAAATTTGGTCTTGTATTGGGAGTTGATTATGGCTTCCTGGACACAATACTTAGTATTGCCCTTACTTCTTTCAGATGTATTGGGTCCCCATGAAAATAGTGATGATACACTGAGTACATGGATATACACTCTTCCTTACTGAATTCAGCACCAGCTCTGGCTTCAGACATTTATCTTCTCCTTGAGTTGCAACTAATAACTTATGTCTAAGTAGTAGGTCCTTGCTCATATGTCATGATGTTCACTCAGAACCACAGATAGGAAAGTTTCTTTTCCCCCAAACAGCTTTCACTGAGAATGAAATTCAGTCCACATTTATTGTACTCCTACTCAGTACAAAACAGCATCCCGGGTGTATTCTAACTGGCAAGGTATGTGAGTGCCTGCTTTATGTGAGCTCTGAGACATAGGTTGATTTTTATTTTGTAAAATTGAGCTTGTCAGATATGGATTCCATCTTGTAAATTGGATTGGCCTTATATCCAAGCAGAAAATGTTTGGTTACTGTTATAACATTTGAGTTGCTATTACTCCAGTGGGCATGTCTTACCGGGCCAGTCACTATTCTATCTAGCAGGGTTCACAGCTGTGTAAGATTGATGATTACTTTTCTTTTCTGGTAGTGTGCGTAGCACCATGACAGCTAGCCAGTAGGAATGAAGCTTCTAGCACCTGTCATGGCAGGGAGGCATGGGGGAAGAAGTAGTCAGAGCAGAATGCCAAGAGACATCTTTGAGTAGGCACAGGAAGCAGAGACAGCTAGACTAGAAGTGGCATGTCTATATACTCTCAGAGCCTACCCCCAGTGATGCGCTTCCTCCAGCATGGCCATACCTGCTAAAAGTTCCTTGACCCTCCCCAAACAGCAATACGAACTGGGGATGAAGTGTTCAAATACTTAGAGACAATGGGGACATTATCATTCAAACCACCACCTTCCACTCCCTGGCCCCTACAGGCTCATGACCATATAAAATGAAAAATGTGGCCCTTCCATCTCCGCTGCTGTTCTCTGCTCCTGGTTTGGGCCCTGCACCATTCCTGGTCTTGGGTCCCCAGACACCTGGGGAACTGGTGCTGCTTCCTGATCTTTTTCGACCAGGCCAGCTTGGTGCCTTCCTTGGGCCCCAGAGGCACTGCTTCCATGGGACCTGGCCCCGCCCTCACCTCTCCCTGCTTCCCGGACCTGCACCACTGGCTAACTCTCCTGGCCCGCTCTCCCACCCTCAGACCTCTCTCGGGGTAAGTCTACCGTACAGCCCTCCTCGCCTTGACTCCGCCAGCTGCGCTCACCCTTCCATCTCCCCCACTGTTCTCTACTCCAAGCTTGGGCCCTGTGCCATTCCTAGTCTTGGGGCCCCAGACACCTGGGGAGCCAGTGCTGTTT